GCCCCACCCAACCTTGCCCAGGTCCGCCTCCAACCCCACCCCAGCCTATCCCCCAACCCCGCCCCCAACCATGCCCCCTTAAAGCTTAAAAGTAGAAAACATACACGGTGTGCATATCCTGACAGTCTGTATTAATTACAGACTGTCAGGATATGCACACCATGTATGTTTTCTACTTTTAAGTCATGTATTGTTGTACTGCAGCTCAACCTCACTGAGTCTTTTGATTATTTTTATCAAAACATTTGTTGCAATAAACATTTATTGTTTTATAGCTGTGCACACACTTTGTTTGCCTTTCAAAGTCCCAGGGGGATATTTCCATAGTTGTTGTCTATTTCAGTATTTGGTATGATGGCAAAAATAGTGTAAATGGTGGGGTATTGTACCCAATTTCCTAGTCTTTGTAATCTCACCAGGCCAGACACAGACAACAGTAAAATACATAGGTTCTAGCCCTTTCTCTCTCTATACAAAACTTAAAACAATTGAGTGGTGCTCCACTCTAACTATGACAATGAGTAACGACCTGTAGTGTGCATGTAAGCAGCTCACCTTAAGCTGGCCATACATAAGTCATTTTCCCCCAAGGCGGTGGAGAGCGGGCCTCATGTCCCCCAAGGCGGTGCAGAGCGGGCCTTGTGTCCCCCAAGGCGGTGGAGAGAGGGCCTCGTGTCCCCCAAGGCGGTGAAGAGCGGGCCTCGTGCCCCCCAAGGCGGTGGAGAGCGGGCCTCGTGTCCCCCAAGGCAGTGGAGAGCGGGCCTCGTGTCCCCCAAGGCAGTGGAGAGCGGGCCTCTCCTTGTGTCCCCCAAGGCAGTGGAGAGCTGGCCTCTCCTCATGTCCCCCAAGGTGGTGGAGAGCTGGCCTCTCCTTGTGTCCCCCAAGGCGGCGAAGAAGAAACCGGAAGTCGAAAACCAGAAGTCGGAAACCTGAAGTTGGCTTCACAACGAGGCTTGGAGCTCAAGTGGAACGCAAATCGATCCCCGGGGCCTGATGATCGCATTGCAAGCCACCCGCTCCATTGTAAGCCACCCGCTCCATCTGTGCTCCCCACAAAGTGATTTCCCCTAGCATTTGGCGAGCGGGCGAGCAGAAATTTCAAACCCTGATTTAGATTATCGATTTAATCTTACGTTGTATATGCAATTGGGGAGTTGTTGGAGAGGAATGTATACTCAGGTGGTAATGTATCTGCTAAGCTTTAAAACAGTTGGGGTTCATGCACATGAATGCATTTGCCCCATACATCATATAAAACAGATGTATTTCAGTGATCGGGTGTCACAGGTGGTGCAAACAGCCTAGTAGACACAGATGAAACACTTCCTGTGCTCAGGGACCCAGATCAGTAGAGGGCCGGTGGACCAATAATATTAGAGTGCATGGAAGTTCGTCCGATCAAAGGCTGTGCAGCTCCAACACAATGCTGGGGAAGATTGATACAAACTGTAGTGGAGAACAAAAACATAGCGCACCAACCTTGCACATTACCTCAGTAAACAATTAGTTGATTTATTGATTTGGGAGATATACTCACAAAAGTAGTAGTAAAACAGGCATATATAATCCAGAGGTGAATCCTACGATAAGGAGACACATGCGAATCCCATCGGGAGGGGAAACTCTCAGAGTGACACTGACGCGTTTTGAAGGGGGGGTCCCTTCTTCATCAGCTCTGATTCGCTTGTGGATTATATATGCCTGTTTTACTACTAGTTTTGTGAGTATATCTCTCAAATCAATAAATCAACTAATTGTTTACTGAGGTAAAGGTTGGTGCGCTCTGTTTTTGTTCTCCACTACAGTTTGTATCAAGCTTCCCCAGCTTTGTGTTGGAGCTGCACAGCCTTTGATCGGTCTTGTACGAACTTCCATACATTCTAATATTATTATTCCATCAGCCCTCTACTGATCTGGGTCCCTGAGCACAGGAGGTGCTTCATTTGTGTCTACTAGGCTGTTTGCACCACCTGTGACACCCGATTGGTTGGTGCGCTCTGTTTTTGTTCTCCACTACAGGGTGCAAACAGCCTGCTGCCAGTAGCCTGTAAAAATCAATGATCGGCTGAAATATGTAAAACACAATTAACCTTCTACTTTCATGGCATACTTCCCTGTACACACAGCCTGATACATGAGTACTGCTTAGATGTGTGTACAGTTGCATATAGTCACTTTGCACTTCAGCCTGTCATTGATTTTGGCAGGCTGCTGGCAGTGGCCTGTATACACTATCTGTGACTCTAGAACACTGAAATAGGCCTGTTTGTTTTTGTTTTTTTGTTTTGCTGTATAAACAATTAAGTGTGTATGAGATTTTGAAGAGAATCATCAGTGTACACAAAAAATGTATAGTACAAAAACATAGTGACATATTGGCATATTGGTGTGCTATTACTTTGTGGAACGTTTCACCGAATGGTTCATGAAATATTGGCATTTTTGTGGTGAAATTGGTCCCATAGGAATGATTGGCAGAATGTTCAAAACTAGTTACTCTGCCCAGTCCAACCTTTTCACAGTTAGTCCAGCCACTCCAACTACACAACAGTTACTCAAGCCACTCCACCCAGTTACTCCGCCCACTCCAGTTGTAGACTACTGGTGGAGGCAAGAACACTTCACACAATTTCCCCAGAAATTGTAGCTTTTCTAGTTATTATTAAAATGACTTTGCAATTTAATTTGATAACTTTGACTTTTTCAAACTGACAACAATGTTTTTATTCCACCTTATTCCCATAGGCAGGATTTCCAACAATTCTCAGCCACGTGTTAGATTTATAGGCTGTCTAGTTTTTTCCAGTCTTCACAGAGCCTAAAGGCTGCGTTCACCTTTTCAGGCAGAATTTAACGTTTTATAATCAATAGAAGCGTTTTCTAATGACATTTCTGACCCAGCCATTCCAATGTGCTTTCTCTCACTTATCTTATCCACAGGAGGTTTACAATCTTGTCAGTTTATTTGAATTTTTTAAATGATTTCCAGATTCCATCACTTCGTGTAGATATGTACAAATAAAACTTCAGCGCAAAAACAATCAACCTCCTGTGTATACTAGTGCTGCTGACACTTACATGAGTTTTCCACATACAAATAGATATATATTAGTGACGCGCATTTACTGTATCTCCATATATAGTACACAACCTACTAAGTGCATCAAAAAACATGATTTAAACACTTGTGAATATAATAACCACAAGTTATAGTCCTTCATATGTGATTTTATCCGTGCACATATAATTTTGTGACATCATTGGCCCACCTTACACGTTACGTCACGTCATGTGACTTCCTCAGTTGTGAATGAAGCCGCATTGTTCTTGTGTAAACACACTAATTTCATTTTCAGGCCCCATTCACACCTAGCTTAGTGGAAGCACATGCTTTTGGCTCCTTTTAACCGTGACAGGCATAGAGCAGCCTGTCGATTTTAATATGTTGCCCTTCACATGACAAAGTAGCTCATGGGTCATTTTGGCATGTTGCGATTTGCACGTTTTTTTATTGTGCATTTTGCTGTGTTTGTCACTTTTTTTTTCATGTGACAAAATGTGTATTTGCTTGTGCGTTTGGGATGCTGTTAACAATAATGACCAAAAGTGTGACTAGTTCATTTTAGGTGTATAAAGATGGCCATACACTATACAATCTGATTATACAATCTCTGTTCAATCTCCTTTAGAGTTACCAAAACTATATAATAGGAGGACACACCATCTATCCACTCAATCTCCATCCAGTCAGACAGGTCCTTGCACTACATCATTGATGGTAGATCTAAAGAAGATTGTACAATCAGATTTACGACATACTTCTCCTGTATTCAGTACTACAGCTCTATCCACATATGCTGTTATCTGAACACTCAGCTCCTGCACACTCTGTGAAATGAATAATCTATGTAAGATGAAGGTAAAAAACAAACTAACAATGCCTGAGTTTTTAGGCTCCAAGCACACGGGGCATTTTAATAATGCTGGTAATGTTAGCTGTGTAAAGTCACATTAAAAAAACGTGGGTTTTTCAGCATTTTTTGCATTAGTGTTTAGTGCCATTTTCCCGCGTTCTTCTGCATTTTTTCGCATTTGCGTTTTTGGGCGTTTTGTAGCAGGTCCCCCCCCCCCCCCCAAACAAAATCGAAAAACACTGGTTTGCCATGTTTTAACGCGTTTTGATTAATTTTTCAGCGTTAGAGCGTTTTTACAGCAAAAAACTCCTCTACAAACCCACTAGTTCTGGATTTTTTTTCCAGCCACAAAACGCCCCTGCCAAAAAACAATAATTACAGTCTATGTGTGCATGGACACATAGGATAACATACTGGGGAGTTTACTGGCTGTAGAAAAAAACACCAAAAGCCAAAAAACAGCAGCTGTAAACACGTCCAGTGTGTATGAGAACTTAGTGAGAATGGTGATCACTGTGTTAGATTTGCGTGCAGCTGTGGAGGTGGATATGAGCCATATCCTGGAAGGGAAGGTAGTGGCAAAGTATGTGTTAATAAGATCAGCTGGTGTACTACTTCCAATGTCTTACTGGTTTTCCCAACCTAAAGTCCATCCAAGAAGTAATGAGAAGTTCATAGATCAGGCCAGGGCCGGATCTAGCCTATCTGATCTGGGGGTGCAGTAAAAAAAAAAAGTCAGGGGGCATAATATCAACACTGTGTGTGTGAGCCACTTATAGTCTGTCAAACAGTTTCATTACCTGGGAAACAATATTAAACAGAACCTGCGCCTCCTAATATCAGATATCCCTATAAGAGTCCTCTTTTACATAATGATTAGTCATCAGAGTGTCCCCTTACATTAGTGTCCCCATCAGAGTGCCCTTTTGCATCAGGTGTCCCCATCAGAGTGCCTCCTTACAACAGAGTCCCCATCAGAGTTTCCCCTTACAACAGTGTCCCTAAAAGAGTACCCCTTACATCAGTTGTTCCAATCAGAGTGTCCCCTTACATTAGGTGTCCCCATCAAAGTGCCCCTTACATCAGGTGTCCCCATCAAAGTGCCCCCTTACATCAGGTGTTCCCATCAAAGTACCCCCTTACATCAGGTGTCCCCATCAAAGTTTCCCCTTACTTCAGGTGTCCCCATCAAAGTTCCCTCTTACATCAGGTGTCCCCATCAAAGTGCCCTCTTATATCAGGTGTCCCCATCATAGTTCATCCTTACATGAGAGTCCCCATCAGAGTTTCCCCTAACAACATTGTCCCTAAAAGAGTTCCCCTTACATCAGTTGTCCCAATCAGAGTGTCCCCTTATATCAGGTGTCCCCATCAGGTGTCCCCATCAGAGTGCCCCCTTACATCAGGTGTCCCCAACTGAGTGTCCCCTTACATTTGGTGTCCCCATCAAAGTGCCCCCTTACATCAGGTGTCCCCATCAAAGTTCCCCCTTACATTAGGTGTTCCCATCAAAGTGCCCCCTTACATCAGGCATCCCCCTCAGAGTGTCCCCTTACATCAAGTGTCCCCATTAAAGTGCCCCCTTACATCAAGTGTCCCCATCTGAGTGTCCCCTTACATCAGTGTCCCCATCAGAGTGCCTGTTTACATCAGGGTCCCATCAGAGTGCCCCTTTAAATCAGTGTCCATAATAGAGCTCCCCTTACATCAGTTGTCCCTATCAGAGTGTCCCCTTACATGTGATCAGTTATCCCCATGAGAGTGCCCCCTTACATCAAGTGTCCACATTAAAGTGCCTCCTTTTGTGGATTGCTCTCATTAGAGAGCCTCCTTACATCAAATGTCTGCATCTGACTGGCTCATGGATCAATGGATGCACTCTCAGAGACCTGGGGGGCACAACTAAAATCTGGGGGGGACAGCCCACCCCAGCACTCTCCAAGATCTGGCCCTGGATCAGACTGATACCTAGGTAAGTGCCGGTGTGAGATATTACCCAATACTTTATCCTTTTTGCAAAAGAGGCACATTGATGTTTTATTGGTACATAGGGAAGCTGGAATTTAGAAAATAAAAGGTGAAATTAACATTTAAAGGAGCAATGTCACCAGGATTTCTGCTGTATCTCATCTTTGGGATTGCTGCTATGGGTACTGTGCTGTTAGGAGGATGTTGAGAAGTGCAATATTTTTATTGCGACACTGGAACAAGTTATGTGATTACAGTAGGCAGATCCTCCCACTTAAATCGGAGCTCCACCCAAAAGGGGAAGTTCTGTTTTAAGCCTTTGTCCCCCTCTCCCCATTAAGGATTGGCACCTTTGGGGAGCAGGTACTCGAATTTGACAGGTACCAGCTCCCACTTCTGCTGTGATCGCCTAAGGCGACTGGAAGCAGCAATTGTCCTCCCCGTAGTCTTCTGGGACACGTGACAGGTCCCAGAAGACTATGGGGCCATTCGCAAAGTGCAGCGCTTCTCGCGCATGCACAGTGGGCACTCGGTCACAGCTGGGTGCCCACACTGATGATGCCAGTGCCAGGGCAGATGGCCAGTGACACCAGCTGTGGTGAGGACACTGCTGGACCAAGGGACAGGTAAGAGTCTGTATTTTAAAAGTCAGCAGCTACAGTTTTTGTAGCTGCTGACTTTTTTTCTTCAACTGGAACTCCACTTTAATTCTTATTTGAATTGATCAAAGCTCAATATACCGTATTTTTCACTCCATAAGACACCCTTTTCCCCTCAAAAAAATGGGGGAAAACGTCTGTGCGTCTTATGGAGCAAATATGGAGCGGCCGTGTTAGAATAGGCCCCTCAGCTCTATTGTGAAGAAGAACCTGCTCCTTGGTCCTACCTGTTCCTCGGTCCAGTGGTGTCCTGCATTCACCAGCCATCTTTTCTCCCTGGCACCGGCATCTTGAGTGTGGGCACCCGGCTGTGCATCCACAAGCTGTGCTCACTGTGCATGCGCTTTGTGAATGGCCACCCCCCCCCCGATTCCCAAAGGTCTGCAGTCTCTGGTCATCTCCTGTAATACGTCCGCAGTCTCTGGTCATCTCCTGTACTATGTCCGCAGTCTCTAATCATCTCCTGTACTGTGTCCCACAGTCTCTGGTCAGCTCCTGTAGTATGTCCGCAGTCTCTGGTCATCTCCTGTACTATGTCCGCAGTCTCTGGTCATCTCCTATAGTATGTCCGCAGTCCCTGGTCATCTCCTGTACTATGTCCGCAGTCTCTGGTCATCTCCCGTACTATGTACGCAGTCTCTGGCCATCTCCCATACTATGTCCGCAGTCTCTGGCCATCTCCCATACTGTGTCCGCAGTCTCTGCTCATCTCCCGTACTATGTCCGCAGTCTCTGGTCATCTCCTGTACTATGTCCGCAGTCTCTTGTCATCTCCTGTACTATGTCCGCAGTCTCTTGTCATCTCCTGTACTATGTCCGCAGTCTCTGGTCATCTCCTGTACTATGTCCGCAGTCTCTGGTCATCTCCTGTACTATGTCCGCAGTCTCTTGTCATCTCCTGTACTATGTCCGCAGTCTCTGGTCATCTCCTGTACTATGTCCGCAGTCTCTGGTCATCTCCTGTACTATGTCCGCAGTCTCTTGTCATCTCCTGTACTATATCCGCAGTCTCTGGTCATCTCCTGTACTATGTCCGCAGTCCGTTGGTTCACAATATTTTTTTTATTGTTTTCCTCCTCTAAAATCTAGGTGCGTCTTATGGTCAGGTGCGTCTTATGGAGCAAGAAATATGGTATTCTCTAAAGAAAAGCAAGTACAAATCTGCAATGAAGTGTTCAAACTAAGATGCATGCAATGTATACATGAGAACTTTTTTTCTCAACATACTGTCACTGGAGTATCACTTTAAGTATACTAATTGTGGTGCTGTTCATTGGGACCTAAATAATTAGAACCCTGACTACCAGGTTTCCCAATAAGGTCAGCCTGTATTCCTTCTTGTCCCTCAGGGCTCATGTCTACGGGCGTCGTTTTCCTGAATTTGACTTGTACATCAAATGCAGGCCAGCAAAATCCCTTTGACTGTGATTGATTTGTACGCATGGTAATTCAGAGGCTGTGTTTGACCTGCTTTGTATTGTGCAGCCTTTCTTCCAACGCAGCATGTCCTATTGCCGTGCATTTGAACTGCAGGCAAAACAGGTCAAATGCAGCCTTTTCTTGTCAAATGCTGTGTTTGCTATTAAAAAAAATGCATTTAAACAACAATCACAGCATCTGAACAGAGCACCCACTAGCCTGTGCCCCTAGGGATCCTGTGCAGCAGCACTGGCAGTAGGTCCAACTATGATTGTCCATGTGAGGTCATTAATATGTCTGCTAGCCTTGTTTTTACAGTTGTTGGAACAACTGGGATAAAGGGATAAAAGAGGTTGAATAAATGAATGAGGATGGAAAACGCTGAAGTGTATAAGTCTTAGCAGACAATCAGATTTTAAGCAGCACTAAAATAATGAAAGCTGGGATCTTATAGGTTGCTATGGGCAGCTATTCTACTTTCTTTTCCAGTTTCATAAATCAGTGCCAATCATTTTGAATGAGATTTATGGTCAAATTCAGCTCATTTATATAATTAAGAACTCCGATTCTATCACATATACAACAAAATAACCCACAATCCTTTTTTCTTTTCTCAAACAAAGAACATTACATTATCTTTATTATAAGTAGATATGGTGCAGAAGCCCTATAAAATGACTGTGCTGTAAATCAGATGGATTGGCGCCATTTCCTTTTGACAACATTGATCATTCAACAAAGCATGCTTGATGTGGGAAGACCCTTTGCACAAGGTTGAAATATTCACTAAGGACATTTAACACTGACTATATGAATTTTACTGGCAGTGTTTTTTACTGAATGCTCCTGACAATATACCTGTGTCCTACTTTTCACGCCAATACCTACTATGAAAAAAGGGCCGTTATTATGTTCTTTATAAGGTTTGATAAAAAAGAGATTTGTTAATTAAATTACAGCAGAAAGCTGACAAAATCCGCAATGAAGCATAATGTGTAGCCTATGTCGGTACCCAAGAGAAAAGATCTTTCTCTCCCCCCCACCCACTTAATAAGAGAAAGGCTGAAAAAAAACCATCAGGCCATGAAATGTAAGTGTGGCCAAGGGACATAAAGTGGAGACTAGCTGTAAAGTACTCTGGACCTTTATTATTTAGTGAATTTAATTTCAGTGACGACTCTATGAAGTGTACTCGGCCATACTGGCAGCCGATGAAATGCATAAGATGTCTTTATTATAGAGTCATGCAATAGTAATTCATAATATGATTTCACATTTTAAATGCATTCCTAAGAAAAATCTTTTAACATCAAGCTCTTTTTATTCTTGAAGAACCGGTAATCAGTAAAAGGGTTATGCAAATTCAACAATATCAATTGTTTAGATATATTTATTAAGTATTTAACCCTATTTTTTTTTTTTTTTTATGATTGGAACTATTAAAGAAAAGGCATGCAAACATTGTATTCCTTCTGAGATTTTACTAGTTAGTGTTATTAGTGATTAAGCATTCAGAACTCATTGTGTTAAACTGAACGGTTATTTAAATGTTGGGTCTTTGATTATCATTGGTGTAATTTGTTGTGTAACTTATATGATTGTGGACCATAAAAAGGTGAATATAGAGGAAAGAAAAAATAAACAATTTTCGGACCACTGTAGTAGATCCATATTAACCGCTTGCCTACAGGGCACTTATACCCCCTTCCTGCCCAGGCCAATTTTCAGCGTTCAGCATTGTCACACTTTGAATGACAATTGCGTGGTCATGCAACACTGTACCCATATGAAATTTTTTAGACAGATAGAGCTTTCTTTTGGTGGTATTTAATCACCTCTGGGTTTTTTATTTTTTGCTAAACAAACCAAAAACAACTGAAAATTGTGAAAAAAAAAAGTTTTTTCTTAGTTTTTGTTATAAAATTTTGTAAATAAGTGATTTTTCTCCTTCACTGATGTGCGCTAATGAGGCTGCAGTGATGGGCACTGATAGCTTGCACTGATGGGTACTGATAGGTGGCACTGATGGGCACTGATGAGAAGGCACTGGTAGGTGGCACTGATGGGCATTGACAGGCATCACTGATGGGCACTGAAAGGCAGCACTGATAGGTGGCACAGATAGGCGGCACTGATAGGCAGCACTGACTGGCACTTTTAGGTGGCACTGACTGGCACTGTTAGGCGGCACTGATAGGCAGCACTGATGGGCACTGATAGGCGGCACTGATGCGCACTGATAGGCGGCACTGACAGGTGGTACTGACTGGCACTGATAGGTGGCTCTGAGTGGCAGCACTGATAGATGGCATTGACAGGTGGCACTGATTGGCAGCACAGATGGTCACTGATATGTGGCATTGATATGCACTGGTAGGCACTGATATGTGGCATTGATGTGGCACTGATGGGCACTGGCAGGTGGCATTGATGAGCACTGACAGCTAGCATTGATGGACACTGACAGTTGGCACTGCTGGGGCTACACTGATTATCAGGGCACACTAATCATCAGTGCCCAGATGATCAGTGTACATGTCCCCTCTGAGTAATGCCGATTACTGGCTCCCCTCTCCTCATGAGCTGTCAGTGTGACAGCTCGTAAGGAGAGAAATGCCGATAACCGGCATTTTCTTATTTAGATGTGATCAGCTGTGATTGGACACAGCTGATCACATGACCGAGCCGACATCTTCGGGTCTTTCCATTGATCGGTAATCCGCTGTGTCCGAGGGACACAGCGCACCACCGATCACCATGCTGTGCCCACCCGGAGCTGCACACGTGCAATTAGAGTGGGAGGACATCATATGACGTCCTCCCAGAACGAGAGAACCGCCTTGCGCTCGTCATTTCCTTATATGGCGGGCTGGAGGTGGTTAAAGTGGTAGTAAACTCATTTCTATTTTAACCTACGGGTCAGCTTACAGTATAATAAAGCCAGAGGCGTAGCTGGGGGGGGGCAGGGGGGTACATATGTAACCAGGCGCCAAGGTACAGGGGCGCCAAAACTAGGCTTACAACCAGGGGCATATTTGCCGCGAGGCAAACAAGGCGTTTGCCTAGGGCGGCACTTTTTAGGGGGGCGGCACAGTGCCACCACCCCCCCTTCCAACCAAAGGGACATTTAGTACAGGGACGGGCAGCGGGCTGCTGTGTCCTACTTGGCTCCGCGTCCCAGTCCCACGATGATCCAGTCAAGGAGGCGCTGCTGGAGGAGGGGTAGAGAGGTCTGGTGTCTTCTTTTCACTGGACAGCCTATGGCAGTTTGTACAGCCCTCTGCAAGCTCCGCCTCCTCACCGGTGATTGGGCTCCAGAACTGTAGCTCAGGAAAGGCACACTGGTGGCCAATCACCTGCGAGGAGGCGGAGCTTGGAGAGGAGGAGCCGAGCGGCAGCGCGAAGATCGAGTGAGGGAGCGGCCTGAGCAAGTGAAGAAGACAGCTGACCGGTAAGTGTGCCGTGCAGATGGTGATGCTGCAGCCAGGTATGCTGGCTGTGGATGGGAGAGGGAAGGAGCCTAGGCTGGAGCAGGGGTCAGCAAGGTAAGTGTCATTGGTGTCAGGGGGAGGAATAGTGCCCCATCATTGGTGTCACTATTGTGATTAAACGAGGGGGGGGCTGGGGTGCCAATTTTATAGTTCGTCCCCAGTGCATAATATCCTAGCTACGCCTCTGAATAAAGCTTACCTGTAGGTAAAATGAATATCTCCTAAACGTTCACCGTTTAGAAGATATTCTAGAGAGCAGCAGCCAGTGACATAACTGGCGCATGCGCTCTGAAGGAACGGCATACCCGTGCTGTTCTTTCAGAGTTGTGTGCCGTAGCCAAAACTCCTGTGCACATGCACAGGAGTGATGCCATCAGCGGCTCATCCATTCAAGCAGCTGCAGCCCGGAAACCCGGAAGGAAGACCAGGTGAAGATGGAAGCCCTGTCAGTGATGACAGCGTGCCGCTTGAGGGCTTCATTCTAAGGCAGGTTTCACAGAGTGTGCTATGCTATACTAGCATATTATGATATTACCTTGCATTTTTTTTACAAGTTTACTACCGCTTCAAGAGATTATGGGAGAAATGGCAAAAAATGGATTGAAAGCTATATGTTATATATATATTTATTATATTTATATAGATATATATATATATATTATTAAAAATCTACTCAATATGGCAAATATCTGTAATTACTTTAATCCTAAAAAGCTAATATAAGTAAACTGACTTAGCAGGCATATCAGCTTAATATTTCCCCAGTGCAATTAAGGAGGCTGTGTTGCTACGACCATTTTAGCAATTATTTGTAGCAAATATGGGATATCAACTGAGCTACCATCTGAAAGTTAACGGGTTACTTGAGCAGATGGACTTCCTCTAATTAAAAGCT